GATGGTTAGCGACGTCTGCTGGGTAAATCTACTCTAGAATCATTCTCAACACAACTTCCTAATCGGGTTTCAAAAGGATGTACTAACTTCGAAATCTGTGTTCTACAAATGCCCAGGTTAGAGATCGGGGCTCTTTAGAAGGGCCCTTATCTTTTACATTTGGTAAAATATGAAAAGCATTGTCAAACAGACAATTCGTCTAAGAGTCCAAAGTATCTTATAAAGATAATTTATGACTAGCAGGTCACCATCATATATAGTAACAACGAGAATATAAAGTCTACATTTTAAAAGACTGATGCATGCAGTATATCATAGTATGTTACATATTTTCTAGTCATGTGCACCAATTTATTGTGCTTCAAACACGGCAACAAGTATGATTATACAACATATATGTGTATACATCATAGTAGCATAATAAACTCAATCTAACAGAAAAATACTCCAGGAACAATAGAACTTCACAATAGAAGCGATGATTCTTTTAGGTTTTTCTTCACTCTTTAGGGAAAAAATATGACTTTTTGTAAACATCTTCATAGCTATCTTCATATTACTGAAAATTATTATTCAAATATTAAATATCTAATTGACATGGATAACATATGTCTTAACACTAACACTTTCAGACAAAAACAGGCATTTATTAAAAGAAATTATTATAAATATTTTCTATTTGTATTTTAAGTACATTTTCATAAATAAGGTATTTAAAAGTGCTGAATATGGTAGGATAGTCAGCAACGCCAGTGTAAACAGAACTTTTTTGTTTTCTACTCTGCAAACTTTTTTTAAAATCCCATTCTGTCAAACACTGCAACAGTTAAAATATTTGCATAGGGAATAGATAATAGCCCTTTTAAACATATCTCCTGAATTCTATATAAATTAGAAAATCAAATTCACTTAAAAAAACAATTCTTAAAATGTTTTAAGTTTATGGAAAAAGAAACTTATGATGCCAACCTTTCAAATAAAATAAAATTTAAGAAGAAAACCCAAACTTGTTTTTTTAAATGTTTAATAAATTAAAAAATGAGAGGTAGTTAAAAATGGCAAAGAAAACCTATAATTTTAATATCATCCTTAATATAAGGCCAGTATTTTCAGTGGATATAAATATTTTTAAAACTTTCATTTTAGGTTACTCAATATTATATTTAATAATTTTAAGATTAAAAAAATAGCTTCCAGGGGATATTAATATTCAAATGTAACGCCTTAATATAAATATGACAATGACTTTTTTGTGTCGGTGCACAATAGGATACTGTTTTCTTGAATCTCAAAAGTACATGCCAATGTCAAGCAGGTATTTTGTTTTAAAGATTTAGTGATACTTTAAAAAATAATATGGCAGCTAGGAGATTTGAGCACTGCACTGCCTTTGAATTATGGATGAGAATTGATAGTTTGGTTTCAACATTTTTAAAATAAGTAATTCTTAAGATGCTATGTGAAAACAGTTAAGGTCTGAAATAGAGAATTATGTTCTTCATAACCCTTATAAAACTTTTATTGGTTAAAAACTTAGCTTTTCACTGGATTTTACTTTCAAGGAAAATATGCCACAGGGACAGCTGCTTTTCATCAACATTTTTTATGATGCTACATGTAGGCGTTCCTTTATTAAATCCTTTCTTTATATTCCAAAACTAAGTTATCAAGCTCATTGGTTTTTTTTCTTGCTAAAGTACATACATTACACAACTGTTTTAGAACTGGAGAGCCAGTCTTTAATAAATTAATTACAGTATCGGACATGGGATATATACATAGACTCATTTTCTTCTGTTACAATTAAAAAGAATATCACTCTGATTTGTCATTGAGATAGAATATCTTCAAATTAGTTTGTGCTTTTTTTCTCTTTTCATCTTATTTTTTTACACAACAAACTCTTCTGCAATAAAAATGCCAGTTTTGGCAGTGGACAACCAGAGGAATCCCCCACTGGGATTTTCCACCAAACAGAGATAAATAGCTCTTTTTTCATGTACAGATATATTGGCTTAGAAATGAGTGTACTGAACATACACTATATAGCGTGTTGAATACAGTGTTACAATTTAAAAATTGGCTTTTTCTGTCTTAGGTTATATTTAAAAATGCAAACCACAGCCAACTTTTTGGCAATTATTTCTGTAAGACCATATTGCACGGAAGTCCTTAAATACAGATATAAGTTACGCCATTGGATTAAATATTACAACAACTACATGGCAAATGAAGCAGTTTTACTTTGCACATGCAGTCTCTGGAGATACACTAGGAGACTGTCCATAGGACTACAAGTACAGTTTGCTTGCAAGTAGAATGAGTGTTGACTAAAACAAACTTAATTTGGCAATTCACTGTTTTGTGTGGTATTTTCTCCAAAGTTAACCACGGCTAACCTCGATAAAAATGGAGACAAAGACCATATGGTTTTATTTTCACAGTAGCCTGAGGAATGCTAAACTGTAGTTGTCCAGGAACTCTGCTTCTGGTGTTACTTGACTACTTTTATCTCCCATCCCAGCCCTCCAAAAGGATTCTGTTTTTAAATGAAAATTAAGATTCAGAAGTAGAGCTGGCAGTACTTTCAACAAATGACTTATAAATTTGAGAGTTCAAAAACCTTGGAAAAGAATCTCTGTGCATTAAGGTGTATATCTGAAGTTGGGCATCTTCATACATGTGAGGGTTGGGATCCAACAGATTTCTGTTGATCACCTCTCTAACTCGAGAATCGAGACTGACCTAAAAAGAAATAAGAGCAACATATTAAATACTATTTTTTCAAAAGGTCTCACTTAAAGAACGATAGGTTCATTACATTTCAGAGAAATTCCAAAGAGTACGTCCAACTACCTAAATCTCGACGGTATCTGTCTAAAAGATACCCTCCTTCAAAAGTTGAATTAAACAAACAAAAAATTGTTTTTGACAATTTCTACCTATTGCTGACGTAGCAGAGAATCCCCTGCTATTATGTAACAGCCAGGGTGACCCTCTTTACGGGGCAAGTAAAAATCTTGCAGAGTAGTTCTCTGGAAAAAAATTAACATGTGTCTCAAATGCTGATAGTTTCATATCCCACCAAGTCCTACTTTGTCAGAAGGAGGAAACCGGGGCTGTGGAAGTTCCTCCTAGAGCAGAGCCCAGCACACTCTTTGTCTTGGGTCTACCTGGCAAGACACAGGAAGCTGCGTAGTCCTCACATCTGAACACATCCGAAGATCTTGATACTCAAGATTAAGTAGAGGCAGCCTCTGATTTCACAGCCACGTGCAGTCTCCTTGACAAATGGGAGCCTGAAGTAACCTCAGGGGTTTTAGAAGTTCAACCATAAAAATGGGCAGAGTTTTTCTTGATGATATCGGTAGTGCAATCTGCCTTCTTGCGCAAACTGTGGTACGATTCCGACCAACCGCTCAGAGCCCATCTCCACTCAATTCGCGGGCCCTGCACGCAGAGCATTTCTTTTCAACAAGTTTCTCAGGTAGCTCCCCTGCAGCACGGTCAAGGTCACGCTCACTGGCGGCTGCATGGTTCGAGGTGTGAGCTGTAAACACCGCAACAGCGGCAAACTGGGATGGATCTAGGAGCTTGCCCTGGAGACAGCCAGCGTTACAAGGCAGGCCGTGCGATCCGCAACGCGCTCTGGTTTGAGAGGGCGAGGGCTCTGAGGGGCACGCACCATCTGATCACCCTTGAAGGAAGAGCGAGAACTTCCTCTGGCCCAGGTCTCCTTCACTGAAAACAAAAGTCTACTTACATACACTGTCACCCGAGCAGCAGCGTCGGGGTCATGAACTGCGGAACAAGAGGCTATGAGAATCTAAGACGGAACCTTTCTTCTTCCTTTTTAAAATTTCCTATTTTCCATCCAACGACAGTGTGTAGAGAGACTATTGTGCAGCTGCTGTTACCCCCCCCCCC